AGGAAAGACAAGATTCCAGACAGCTCCTGGAAAGAAGTCCTGAGAGCGAGGACTCCTTGCTTCCGGCCGGCAGCAATTACCGGACGTCAGCAGCCGCAGCCTATCTTTGGAACGGCGCTCGCTGACGAAATGCAGAACCGCTGTAGGATCTGTTACAAACCGCCGTAACACCGCCGTGTCACCAGGCTCAAAGGTCAAAGGCCGATCTGTCTAGCCTATTATAACTCTGGTCTATAAATCCCGTTTAAAGGCCACCTGGTTAATAAGAACCATACATTTGGCCAATATAGAAAAAGGGCCTGAAGGCTGACAACGGCGGGAAGAGCGTTTCACTCTACCGCATAGTGGTGGGGTCGCTGGACTCTGTCTGGACAGTGGCGGGTGTCTCCATATTGTCGAGGGGGTGTGTGAAAAGTGGACACTTAAGATACTCGTGGTGGAAATGCGGCAGAGTGATTGACAAGGAAGGAAATCCGCAAGAATCAGTGTCCGCGGACTTGCACTCATTGTGCCGACCCCAGTGTCCGCGGACTTGCACTTATTGTACCGATACCTCAGTGTCCGCGGACTGCACTCATTGTACCGACCTCAGTGTCCACGGACTTGCACTCATTGTACCGAGACCTCAGTGTCCGCGGACTGCACTCATTGTACAGAGACCCAGGTGTCCGCGGACTTGCACTCATTGTGCCGACCCCATTGCCCGCGGACTGCACTCATTGTACAGAGACCCAGGTGTCCGCGGACTTGCACTCATTGTACCGATACCTCAGTGTCCGCGGACTGCACTCATTGTACCGACCTCAGTGTCCACGGACTTGCACTCATTGTACCGAGACCTCATTGTCCGCGGACTTGCACTCATTGTACCGACCCCAGTGCCCGCGGACTGCACTCATTGTACCGAGACCTCAGTGTCCACGGACTTGCACTCATTGTACCGAGACCTCATTGTCCGCGGACTTGCACTCATTGTACCGACCCCAGTGCCCGCGGACTGCACTCATTGTACCGAGACCTCATTGTCCGCGGACTTGCACTCATTGTACCGACCCCAGTGCCCGCGGACTGCACTCATTGTACCGAGACCTCAGTGTCCGCGGACTTTCACTCATTGTACCGAGACCTCAGTGCCCGCGGACTGCACTCATTGTACCGAGACCTCATTGTCCGCGGACT